TAGGAAAGGAGCAAGCGTGGTGTCGCTGTGCCGAGGTGCAGCCATCAGCCACGTGAGCTGCTTGGCCAAAATATCCATGATGCTSCTTTCTGCAGCAGCAAAACCCTTACCCTCTGCACAGAGCCTGGCTCTGTTAGGTGGGATGCTGGGCTCTGAACACACCTCTGCTGGCCCAGAAAGGAGTGACCYGTATGTCCTTGCCAGGGTCACACAGGGCTGTGCCAGGGCTGTGCTGCCTCAGGAGGTTGATGTCCTTAGTGCTATCATTGGCAACTGCAGCAATTCTGCAGCAAAAACATTTCCTGAGTGCCTGAAGGTCCCTTCTGGGCATAGTCAGAGATTCCTTAGTCTTGTCATAGCTGATATTTGCAGTGTGAGAGGTAAGGAAGACTGTAACGTTCTCTGGGGTATAAAGTGGGARTGCTGAATTTGTTGATCCGAGGTTCTGTGAAAGAATCTGGTGATTTTCTCAGAGAGGTACAACTGTCACCTGTACAGAAAGAAACCAGTGCTTGTTGTATTTTTTTTTTCCTAAATGCATGTCTAGTTACAGGTGTCTTCTTTGCTTCCTTTCCAGCTACATCTGGTCTGTTACTTTAGATTTGGTTGGCACTTGCCATGAGTAAATGAATCCACGGAATGGCAAACAATACCAATAGCCACACTCCTCTATTTCTTTCCTTCCAGCCTGTTCCAAACACCAGTCCCCAAACACCCTCTGGGTGAAGAACCATCTTCTCCTACCCACCCTAAACCTCCCCTGATGCAGCTTCAGGCCATTCCTTCACGTCCTGTTGCTGGTCACCACACAGAAGGATCAGTGCCTGCTCCTCTTGTTCCTTTCACAAGGAAGTTGTAACTGCAGTCAGGTCTCCCCTCCATCCCTTCTTCTCCAGGCTGACCAGACCAGCTTTGCTTTTCTTCCACCTAAAACACGTGGGCTTTGGAGTGACGTCCAGCTGCCAGGCTGGAGCATCAGAGGCTGGGGCTGTCCTGAAATCAGAGGAGGGGTTGAGTGTGGATGTGCCGCGCTGGAGGCATCAGGGCAGCACAAAAAGGGAAAAAGCAGAGCGTTTTGCTGTGATTTAGCAGCTTGTCTCTGCCTGTAGTGTTTGAAGTGATTAAAGGCACCCAGGGGGCTCTCCAGCTCCTGGCTCTGCTGTTCAGCTGGGGGAGTGGATGGCTCTGCTCTCACAGCTGCTGTCATCTGGAACCAACTGCTCAGACTGGGTGCTCTACTCCAGCAAGGAAATCCCATAATTGGGAAACATGGTGTGAGCAGTAAATAAGTGTTTCGGAAGGAATTCAGTGGAAGGTTTATGAAAAAATGGTTTAGAGGCTGCCAGATGTGGAAGAAAGAGAAGGATTAGTGCTGAGGAGGAACATTYGAGCAGGCAGGACCTCAAATTTTTCACAGTCAGTTGAAATAAATGTGATCATTATCAAGAATTAATATCTCACTAATGCAAAACATTCTGGCAGGTGTTTTGCATTAATCRGAAAATACTTAATAAAATAATTAAAGAAATTCTGTGGGGGTTTTCCCTCCCCCACAAAAATCTCTAGGATTTAGCAAAATCTCTAAGAAATGTAAAAGTCAAATAATTTTGAAGGCAATAGATTTTGACACTTATCCACATTTACAGCATTATTAGCAGAGGGTCTCAGCTAAAAATGGTTTTAATTTTTTTAAGAATACTCATGAAAGGAAAGAAGATGTTAAAAAAGGCGTAATAATAATTTTCACATATAATAGCATATCCTGGTTCCACTTCATGCCTTTTTCAATTTATTTTCTTATCATCATACCTGAAAGCTGTGAAAGCGTTTTGGGCACAAAGCCAGTGATGTACTCATGAGAATACCTGTCTGATACACAGTTAGCAACTCCTTTTTTAGCAGTTTGGGAAGATTCAGGAGTTGCAGTCACCATTTTAGTACTTGTGATGTAGTAAATAGACCCAAGTGTACACTGAGAAAAGCCTTTTACTATTACTTGCTCCCATATATGAGTGGAGAGAGACCAGCAAGGGAAAGTTTTGGTTTATGTGGCATTGCTCAAAACACAATTTACAAAATGATGAAGTATGAGAAGTCCCCATCCTGGAAATTTTTGGGCACATCTTTAGTTCTACTTGCTGAAGCCAGGTAAGGCACATGCGTTTGCAAGACTGTGCTCCGAGGATTTGTTTGTTTGTTTGTTTGTTTGTTTGTTTTGATCAATTATTCATATCCCAGATCATGATTAGCTCTCTACTTTGCAGGGTTTCACTTTCAGTCTCTTAGGAAAAGTAGTAGCAGAGTTCTCTCCCAACCACTTTCACTCTCTTTCACTCAGTTTTGAAAACCAARTTGTGGCTCATAAATTCAAAGTATTGTTGTACTGCGAGTAATCAGCAGGAGCAGCCACCCCTTAAAAAACAAAAATTTTCATCTAGTCTCTAGATGTTTCTGGAAAAAAAAATAAAAGATTGGAAATACATTTTAGTGTAGCATAAAGCAGAATTGTAAGGAGGCTTCATCAGAAAGTATTGGTGGCAATGTTTAAATTGAGCAAGAAAGAGAAAAATATATGAAGCAAAGAAAAGGAACTTGGATACTGTGCAGAGAGAAGAGGACTTCACATTTAAGGACTTCCTCTCCTCTGGGGCTGGACCGTTTTTTGCATGTTTCAGCTTAGGAATGGTTTCATTGCTACTCAAGAACTTTAAAATGTTGCAAGATGTTCAGGGGGAAAAAAAGGGGTTTTGGGGTAGCTTTCAAAGTTGAAGGAACATATGTCACGAGTGATGAGGAAAGAAGGGAAACTTTGAGTGACAGAGTAGACTGAGAAGATTGTGAGGATGTGCAGAGGGTGAGTGAGAATTGAGGATGGAGATAAAGCTGCTTTAGGAAAGGAGTGGGGAATAAAGCTGAGGCAGCTGCAATTGGTGGCACAACAGTGAGCATCCTTCAGAGATATCTGCTTATCTGAGATCTGTCARATGGAATTAGCAATGCCTGCTAACTAGTAATAACAGGATTAAAAACCTTCTCATGGTTCATTCATAAAGCAAGCAGTTCTCAGTCCTGTACCTTGACTGGCACTGATGGCTTTAAATGAAAGTTTTCGYTGCAGAGACAAGACAGTGTCACCATTAAAAATACTAACAGCCTGAAAAGGGAGGAGAGAAGCAAAAATCATACTCCTAATCTTCAAAAATTAATTGGATTTATCTAATTTAATTAAAGAAGATTACATAAAAATAGAATCATTTGACCAAGCAGGCTTTTTTTGTAATCTCTTGAAAGCTGCTGTTTATATAAAAACAGATTGTCAGCTGTAAGAAGTTGCTTCATAGGAAGCAATTGTATTTAGAGTGGCTCCCACTACTTAGTTTACTTCTAATATAGTCTGATAGCAACAATTTTAGTTCATTTCAGTAAAAAATACTGGGCTAAATTATTTTGGCTTTCTTGGTTAAACAGTTAACCATGCCTTGTTATTGCTTGTTTTTTTTTGTTTTTTTTTGTTTTTTTTTTACTTTAGGAAAAAAAGTGCATTTTTAATGTGGAAATGCACATTTACAAGAAGTTCTTGTTGATAATGTTTCAAAAGTTTGATACATCCAGCACTCTCTAATCCTTGTTTTCTTCTGCTGTTGATGTTGGGTGATGCACCAGCTTCCCAGAAATTCTCAGCAGTACCAAATACTATTTATAAAGCTYAGTACATTTTGGATTATTCAAACCAAATCAACTATTTTTGCATCAGTTTTGAGTTCACTGCTGAGCTTTGAATGCTGACCATAAAGGAGTTAGTCCCAAGTCCCTCCTGGTTCCCAGTAATGGTTAAAATCATTGCATTGGTCATGGTATGAAAAAACTTCAACTTTATTGCTTTCTGCAGCAGAAATCATGAGCTGGCTACTGTTTAAAATCATTAGTTTGGGGACTCATAGGGAAATCTATTTCAGATGGTAATTTAGAAGCAAAAAGAACAGCAGTAATAGTGATAATAAAACTTTGATTTTTGGTTAGTATTTTCCCGTAAGTCATTTATTACAGGAGTATGAGAGAATGATAAATGGCCAGGCTTTTTAAGTGGTCTTTGGTGGAAATATATTTGCTTCCTGTTACACTCCCTGGGGCACTGTATATCCGTGTACTTTGCTGAAATGGTGAAACAGAAATTTCTGTGGCATTTGGCTTCTTTATTCCAGTCAGCTGCATTTTCCTCAGTGTGAATTGAGGTGGTGCATAATCTTGCTRTTACTTTGATTTTTGTGTTAAACTGTGGAAGTGTACATGTGGCCATTGTAATTTATTTCACTTTGTCATGGAATGTGGAGCCCAGCCTCAAAAAATGAGTGATACATTTTGCAACAAAGAGAGCAGGGAGAGAAGAGCAGACAAGGCTGATGGGTGGCAGTGAAAAAAGGGAAAAGCATGAGGAGCTCAGATTTGAAAAATAAAAAACATTTGTATAGTGCACTTGAAGTAAAACATTGTGTGTCAAAGTCAGAAGTCATCAGCAAGATAAGAAAAGTTAACTGCAGACTGTTCTTTGTTTCTGCTTCTCCAGGATGTTCTCACACCGTATGTAGCTGATATAAAGCTGTAACTCACATTTGTGATGTATGTTATGCTTTGTGTCCCAGTAGAAGTGTGTCTCATTTCRCAGTTAGAAAACCAGGTGAAAATTTCCTTATCCATTCAGCTGTTATAAAACTTGTMTCCTGTATGATTTTGCTTTTTAACATGAGTAGAAATATTTCAGACGGAAAGACAATTTCGTAGGAAGGATTTGCTTGCCATAAGTATTAAAACTTTGCTTATTTTTTTTCAAATTTGTAATAAAAGGGAATATGAAGACAATGTTCATGGAAACTCATGCAGAATTATTCTGTAGACTGTTCTGATCCTCTGAGMAGATTATATATTCATTGCTGAACATTCATTTATATCTACCAAAATAATGTTTTTTTTTTTTCTCTCCATCTCTCTCTTACCTCATCCAGATTTATATATTTGAAAATAACATCTACTATCAGCCTGATGTAAAGAGCAGCTCATTGCGCCTGACATCCTCGGGAAAAGAAGGAATTATTTTTAATGGAATTGCAGACTGGTTATATGAAGGTAAGCTGGACAAATACATCTGTTTATTAAAACAGATGAAAGGTCCTTGTACAGACCCAGCAGCACAAATCTGTTCATTTCAGAAAATGCTGAGGTTGGGTTTGCTTCTTTCCCTTCTCATTTTCCTTCAAGATTGCCTTTGTATCTGTTCWTTCTTGGTATTGGCTGCTGGTTTGCATCCAGCAGTGTTTTCTGAGAAAGAGGAATTCATTTCCAAGCAGATTGTAGCAAATGTGTGGTGAACACCAGGTACCATGCAGAAGTGAGGAGGGAAAGGGCTCAGTTTTCTGCTTTTAGGGACAATAACAATGCCCGATTTACAGTTAAAATATCCCAATAGAAGAGAGCACCCAAATTTGGGTGAGGCATAGCTCAGTCTGTCTTCTACAGCCAGGACTTAATGTTTCTCTCTGCGCCTAAAATGCTTTTAACATAATGATAAATTTAAGTAGGGAAAAATAAAGAGAAACAAAATATGAGCAGATTATCTAGCCTGGTATAACAGTTTAAAATKAATACTTATTTCAGTTACTCCTTCTATGAGACTCATGTATTCTATAGATAAATTGCTTGGTGTTAAATACTTGGCTAGCTGAGATGTAAAATTTCTCATCTGAAGTTTTTTTAGGAATGATGTTAACACCGTGCATCAAGGAACTTCAGTGTGGCACTTAAAAATGGTCTATCCACTCCTCTTGGCATTTCAGTAGTTATTAGTAAACACCTCACCTTGGGGCTTTTGTTAAAGTGCCTGCCCAAGTGAACTCTGAAGTCAGAATGGTAATTTGCATCCCTCAACCTGTGTCTCATAGTTACCCATTCCCAAGGTTTCCATTAGTGTTTTGAAATGTTTTAATGTGGCAGCATATTTCCAAACATAAGGACAAAAGAACATTTTTTTAATGGAATATAGTTTATTGTGTGCTTAATAATATTAAATCTAACACGAAGGCATGCATATTGAAGAACTTAAACAGACACAGCTCATTGAAGTTGATGTGGTGTATTAAGTTTCTGCTAAGACAAAGTGAATTTAGTAAGTCACAATGATGGGAAGCAAAAGCAAAAGTTGTCCAGTTTGGCACTAGAAAATTTCTGAAGTGTTGTGGGAGATGATCCCAAAGCCTTCCTCATGAAGCAAGTCCTAGAGCTTTTTTTGAGTGATTTTGCKTATTGTTTTCCAAATTTTTTAATCCCTGGCCCAAGTGGCTGTGGCATTTTCTGGCTTGCAGAGAGCTCTGTGGGTTCCCTGGGCTGCAGGCAAGCAGGGAGCTCTACAGTGAGCTACCAACACCTTGGAAATCAGAATAAAAGGGAATTCTGTCCGTACACTCTGGAGAACCCCAGTGTCTGCTGGTGAACGAGCACACTGCTCCTTTCCCATTAACCTAGAGCAGTGCTCCACTTTCAGCAGAGGTTTTTAATAGCATCAGAAGCTGAGCAGGCTGTGAATGTTGTCCAGGTGAAGTTTTTGAAGAGAGATTTTCATTTGAATCGAGCACTCTTCCTCCTTTGACCTCATTTGTTTTCTTTTGTCATTTCATGAGTTTGTTGTTAGCATTTTACCTTACAAAGCATCTGGGAATAGCTTTTCTTTGTGTGAATAACCTTGCCTAAATGCAAACAGTAATATTTTAAAGCAAACACGATTGTGGTTTTTGCTATCTGATATTCACCATTGGTTCTCTGCTCTTCTCCTGTGTAAAAGGTTTTAGTTACCCAGCCAGGGAGAGAAGCATGACCCAGAATATATGACTTTGAATATAGGTCTCAGCTTCATTTCACCTAACCTSTGATAATTCGACCCATTAAGCTGCTTTAGAACTCTCAGAATCTGATTAGCATCTTGGAGAGTCTCTATTGACAATTTAAGTGGTTTTTTTAGGTAGGCTTTCAAATTAGGTATGCAGTCAGGCTTTTTCCCTTAGTACACTTTTCTCAATTAGGTTTCCAGCCAAATTCTTCAGATTTAAATACAAAATCCTTACTAAGCAAGCCTATATATCAAATACAAAATGAAAAAAGTCTTAATTCTTTTCACAAGTGGAAGCAGAAGAGCTGTACAGGGTGAATTTGGAATTGCTCAGGAGCTGCTTTGCTGGGATTCCAGGAGTTTGGATGCTGTGTCTGTGGGTGTTTCTGGTTTGTTTCTTTTGACTATGAAATATAATGACAATAAATGAAAGACAACATTGAGTGACATTTTTGAGAATTGCTTTGATTTGGAAAGCCAGTAAAATTTGGATAAAAAGAAAAGTTGTTTGGATTTTCAAAAACTTACACTCCAGAAAAACTGAACTTTCCAAGAATTAAAGCTGTCCACTAGACTAGGACGGGAAAGTAAAAATATTACATTCCAAAAATGATTACATAAATATGACTGTGTGAAGATCTGCATATTATCTGTTGCCACAACTCAGAGAAATCAGGTGTATTGAAGTTACATATGAAGAGAAGAAAAAAAAAATTGACAATCCTAAAAAAAATTCCAAACCCCCAAAGCATTAAAATGGTTCAAATCCTTTAAAATTGGAATAAACACATGTATTGGAATGCAATGGAACTAAACGTGTGTCAGTTACAATAATCTTTCACATTTAGATGCTTTATTGATGTCAGTGGAAGCATGCATTTGAGGAAAATGGTTAAAGCTTAGTCCTTCAGTATTCCCTGTTATCCAAACGTTCAACCCAGGATGTTGTGAAATTACTGAAATTAAAGCAGACATGTTTGAAGTTGGCAGAGGGAATTAGCTGGACACTGTGTGATGGTTTTATGGACCCCAAGGAAATTTGGTTTTGCAGAGGAGCTTCTTCATTCCCACATYGCCCACTGGTGGTCTCCAGACGGGGAAAGACTGGCTTTCCTGACCATAAATGACTCTCTGGTACCCAACATGGTTATTCCCCGCTTCACGGGAGGTCTGTATCCCAAGGGAAAGCAATATCCATATCCCAAGGTAAGATGAGTGTGAATGCARCCCCCACCTCCTCTTCCATGTTCATTAATAATATCCAACCATATGGAAAGAGTGTTTCCAGACAGTAACAGAAGCTGGTTTTGTTCATGTTGCTTTTCAGGAAATAATAATCACTTTTTTTTTCCCAGTAAACTTAACACCTTTTGTTGGGAAGAGACTATCGTGTGAAGGGACAGCAGAGAAACTAATTTGAAGTAATTTCATCATTGATATTTGGCTTGGTAAAATCAATCCAGCACCTCAGAGGAAAGGGTAATGCATTTGAAGGAGTGCATAAGAAAAAAAGATGCAGTGGAGTGTGACACTGTGTGTGCAGAGCACAGGGCATGTTCCTTCACAGACACAGAGATCTCAGTGGATTGTGCTGTTATTAAGAAATGTGACAGGCTGGCATTGAATAAGATAAGCCACAGTAACATATTTTCATGGCCATGGAAAAGAAAAAAAATAATAATTTAGAACTATCACTGTGTTTCAGAAGATTTAGGGAGGGGTTTTTAGATTTGTTTTGGAAAGTGAAAGAGCAGCCCAGACAGGGATAATGCCTGAAATTGCTTCTCGTTTTCTGGGGATTTTCTGGTGAGGTGCCTCCAGATCTTTTGTTTTGATCTTCCAGCTGCTCAGTTTATCCAGCCCTTGTGTGCCATTTCAAAGTGTCTGAGTTCCTTTCTGCTGGGGTACATAGGTCCACATTGTGGTACTACTTTGACATTTCARGGAAAGTTTATTGAGAGCTTTAGAAAATATTCCTGTTACCCTCCTATTTCTGCTACTGGTTTTTGGTGATGAACCTTTATTCTTGATGGCTGAACAGTTGGACTGTACCAGCTACTATGAAACAATRTCATACATTATATAAATAAAATGTATTTGTGCTCTGAAATAATACTCTGAAATAATGAAGTACCAGTAATTTTAGTGGTAGTTTATATAATTGCATTGGTAAAAGGCTTTGAGTGACAGAGCAAAGAAAAAAAAATTAGGAATAGTTTTAAGTCAGCTTTGTAAATGAGAAAGGAGTAATTCTATTTAATTAGCAACTCAGCATAAAAGTGATACACAATGCTATTTCAGTAATCTCACTAATGAAAAAACATTATCTTTATTTAATGTCTCCATTTAATACAAATTTAGCTACCCGTTAAACATCATTAATTGGTAATGAAGCTGGTGGTACAGCAACAGAGATTACAAAAAAGATTTGGTCTTTATTATAGAGTGYAGCCATCAGATAAAATTATAACTAGGATTAAAAAATAAAATTAAACACGTGTGTTTGTGAACATGGAACATGCTCGTCTGTGTAGATGTCATACACACAGACTGTATTCTTCAAGGAAAGAAAGATAAAAAGAGTTCTGCATCTGTGCAAGCTGTGTTTATGAAAAAGGAGCCTGTGAAAGATGATATTTCTTTTGGAGCAAATGTCATAATTTTTATGAGGAAAAAAGAAGAGTAGTTCTCGCAGTTTAATTAAGGCCCTCTTTAAAACTTTTTTTTTTTTTCCCCCTAGCAGTGTTAAAAACACACAAATGCCACTTCCTTATCCTCCATAGTACTCAGGAGTTAGTGGTTACATTATTCAGCCTTTATTTTGAGATAAACCAAATTTGTAAACTGAATTTGTGGATGTCCTTCAGCCTGTGAAGAACCAAGTATCCAACTTCGTAGTTTCCTATGATAAACCTGTAGATTCATTGATTTTTACCTTTTCCTTCCAATATYAAACAGCAGTCAGCCCTACTGAGGATTACACCTCTTATTTTGTATCCCAGGGGTTTTCTGTGATGTAGTGTGCTTCCTGTGGCATGAGGACAAGACACACTTGGGGGTGGCATGGCCAGGACAGGGATGTGGGACCAGGAGCAGCCCTGCAGAGCCTCTCTTTGTGTCTCCATTGCTTTCTCTTCATCTCAGGAACATCCCTGAGTAACGAGCCGTGTTATGGGAGAAGGATGATTCCCACTTCCCTGTGGATCCCCGAGATTTATCACACTCTTCCCAGTGGATATCTATCAAACTGCCATGTTATTCCCCTTTAGCAGCAAAAAGCATTTTGTTTCCCTTGGAGCTGTCCTGCCACAGCAGCTGGCTCCTGATCCAGGCCAGAAATGGAGATTTTCAGCKCAGCAAACAAGGGAAGGAAAACTGAGGGGAAATGAGATAGAAAAAGAGAGGGGGAAGAGTAGGAATACACTCTCAGACTGAGGTAGTGAAGCTTTTTGAAAGAAGAAGCAATGGCACCTAATAAGGCTTTGCTGGAGGCTGGATTTACCTGCAGATTCAGGAACTGAGTGTGTTTTGGCCGCTGACTTCACTGAATTGGGAAAAGCCACTTCAGTGCTGGTCACTGGYTCTGCACAGGAAGGTTTGCCATAGGTAAAGGGTGGTGAGAGAATCATATTTTTATATTTTTTATCTGTGATTCACATGGCTGTGAAATTATTTTTTCAGGTTTAACATGCTTGAACTTCAATAACTTTCCATTTTTATAAAGATTCTGAATTATGGTAACGAGTGAGTATGCTTAGCTGTCACTGATTCAGTGCCTCTCAAACTCCTATTTATTTTTKCTTTTCCAAAGGCAGGTCAAACAAACCCAACAGTAAAGCTGTTTGTAGTTAATCTGTATGGACCAGCACACACCCTGGAGCTGATGCCACCTGACAGCTTTAAGTCAAGGTATATAATTTCATTGTTTTGAAACTCTTGTTTGATTTAACCTTTCTTGCCTTTTRGGCTAATCACTGCCTTTTTACAGCAGCACAACACTTATCTTTGACTGGAATGCACTTGATCAAAGTCCCTGTGGCTGAATATAGTGATAAAATAAAACACAGCTGTACTCTTATAAGGTCTGGGATGTGTTCAAGTGTGATGTCTTAAAAAGCTCCATTTTATTAGAAAATATGAAATTAGGAATCCTAGGCTGTGATTAAGGGGAGTATCCTTTTTCTGAGGTTGTTACTCATTCACTCCCAGCCATTTCTTGCTGTGTTGTCAACTCGTTACTTTCTGTTTCTGACATGACATTGCAGAAGTGTCTTGCTGCTGCAAAGAACAGAGATTTAGAATTTTTATAATTATTAATTATAGTTAGAATTATTCCAAACGTCTCTTTTGGTTTCTCCTCCCAGCTAACAGGTGCAGTGAGGTGACAGAGGGTGAAGTGCAGTGACACCAGATCATACAGGCTAAGAAAGGCAGAACTCTGCTTTTCAGGAGAAGCTTCTGCAAAACCACTGAGCTGATTTAACATTTCCCCAGCCTCTGAAACTGAGTAAATGAGGTCTGGCTGCAACTGGTGACTCTCCTGTTAAACTTACTGTGATAAGCTGAGCCTCTGATTGCCTGTCCTTGCTTTAGATGCCTGAGTTTTTTCTTCATGGGCAAGAAAATTTTCATCCCTTCCTATATGTGTATTCCATGGATATTATTGCAATCATCTTGATTCAATTCCAGTTGTAATTTCAGTACATAATACTGGTGATCTTCTAGMCCTGAAATGCTATRTAATAGWGGTAATAATAATAATAATAATAACAACARTAGTTTCTCCRGTCCAGATSTGGCTGCTAAGAGTCAGAGAARTGTCACATCCTCTTTTCACTCAGGGCATTTTCAGATGGAAAACGGTGTAAAAAGGATTGGCAAACATAAAGGTACCTCTGTCTGAGAGAAAAAAAACCTCACCTCTGCCTGTGTTATTCCAGTTCCTACAAATCCCCAAATGTTTTATGGTAATTGTTCCCAAAACAATCAGGATGTTAACAGTGGCCACTTATTTGCAAATGTTGTGAACAATCTTAGGCTGGTTCCTAAGATTGATCCTAAAACCACACAAATTGAGGTACTCTAATTTATTGCAGGGATAATTTAATAGTGAATTATGCTTTGCAATTATTGGTTTCAGCWGGCATGCTTACTGATTGTGTTAGTATGAGACATTATTTTGAATGAGTTGAGCATTTTGAAGTATTTTCTTTCTGTTGATGGGCCAGTACTGAAAAACATAATAAAATCTCCTGCTGCTTTCTTACCCTTCTTTAATTTAAGCAGTGCTGTAAGATCTGAAAGAGATTTCTTGCCATCAAGATCAGCATCTTCACTCTCCTTAATGGCATTAAAGTTGTCCTTTTAGTGTCAGAGGGTGCAAAGAAGTTAAGCGAGAAAGCAATGTGTAAATCCACAAGAAAAAAAATTGATCTTGGAAATGTTGTTCAGATGTTATGGTTCCACTTTAGATTTTTCAGATTCATTCTGCCTCATCAGCAGATGGGAAGTAATAGCAGACTCCAATATTAACATCAGTATTTTAAAACTTTTTTTTTTTTTTTTTTTTTTGCATCTTCAAGTTGAACCCAAGTCTCTGGAGCATTTTTGCCAAAATTTTCAGTTCTTGATAAAGATATTGTTGCTGTTCAGTTGAAATAATACTTGTATTAAAAATTCTCATCGCTAGCGCATGAGAGGAGTGAGGAAATCCATTTGAAACTGGGGGGAAAAAAGTTAGCTTCTTCTTCATTTTAACTGTTAAAGTACCATTTCCATGCTGTAAAATTTAGRAAGATGGTATAATTATGAGCCAATTTTACTGTAAATTGTGCATCTGACTTGGGATTCCAATAACAGTCTTCACATGGGCCATCCACCCATATATGCCTTTATATCAGTACATATGCAGTTATGATAAATGTGCTTTAAACAGACTTTTCTACAGTGGAAATATTTGAAGTTGGTCATGGTTGGAAGATTATTTTTTTACCTAACATATTAGCTTTTTCTAATAAAAGTAGTAGCTCCCTTTAGCAGCTAATTTATTTCAGGACCTTTCTAATCCATTCATTATGAAGTCATTAGTAAATAGGTCGTGGAAGCCTTTCAGAATTAAATTGAGTGGTTCATTATCACACATAGTTTTAAGGATCTGTCAGGGCAGAAATATTTTAGGAATAGGTATTGTACAGGTCATAACCAACTGCTGGAGAGATTCACTCCTACATAGAGAAATCATACAGATGAGAAGGGAAGGAGAAAGAGGTTGTTAGTTATTAGCACAAAAAGTAACATTCAGATTCTCAACTTGTCCCAAATTGTGTCTCTGAAGACATAAAACTGTTTCCCTAATTTTTAGGGCATCTTGGAACTTGACATAAGATTGACTAAATTCCTTGAAAAATTCAGTCAATAAATTCAATGGAAAAATCCTTTGCTTCTTGTAGGAATCCTGTTAAAGATGCTTGGTAATATTTCTCAAGTACTGTTCAGGTCATTCTGATATAAAGACAGAATAACACTTGTAAGTTTAACTCGTGTAAGTTTTATTCTATAGAAAAATTTGCTTCCTAGTATGCACTGTTGATGCCACGAAAAGATTGACAGTCTTCCTTCAAATACATGGTTGTATTTCATGCAATTACTATTTCCCCCTTGGTATTTCCCTTTCATGTGTACAATTCTGTTTTCTGCAGTGGCAAACATGGTTTAATGTTTTGCTTCAGTCCTTTGTCTGGAATGSAATTGGTCTTTCCTCTTTAAAATAGGATTGTGAGAAAACTTGAGGTTTGTACAACAAACAGATCAGTTGCAACAGAGCCTGGGAGGCCTGGAGACAGAAATTTTCCTGCTTTGCTACTCATGTCATCATGAGAGATTTTCTTTTACTTGTTTTTACTTTACATGCATTTTTGTCCCTCAGTAAGATTAAACATTTGTTAGAGAAGAAAAAAAAAAAAAAGGGAGGGAGGTAAATATTAGACTTTGAATACACTTGAAGTCCCCATTTCTATTTATCATTCTGGTATCCACATGTGAAAATCTCTGTTTTACTAAAAGTCAAGTATGAAAGCCAAGGAAAGCTGTGCATGTGGGGTTGTTCAGGTGTGTTCTGCACACACAGCACCAGGCAGTGAATTCCTGCCTCTCCTGAGTGCTCCATCAGAGCTGCTGGTGCTGCTTGGGATCTTTGATCTAGTGAGGAGGCTTTTGAATGGATAATTAAATGCCTGTTGTCAAAGAGTAATGAGATCTCTATCCGTATTAGATCAAAAGCCTAATTATATTCAAGCTAAGCCCCTTGTTTGAAGGGGGTCTGAATTTCCGGATAAACTTATTTCACTGTTGCAGATAACTCAGCTACCAGTGGAGCAGGGAAGGATGAGCTGGGCTGGGATGACAAACTGCAACAGAACAACTCTTGACATCCCCAGCGACAGCCCAGCAGGATTTTGGGAGGAGGGAGTCAAATCTTTCATGCCAGGAGCCTGGGAAACCTCCTGTGCTCAGCCCAGGTTGTTGAGGGACAGACAATTTGGCTGATATGATGAGCTATTTCTTAAAACAGAAATGGGAACACAGTGATAGCAAGAGGGACTTGCCTTTTATCCAGAAGTCCTGTCAGAAAATACTTGTTATTTTATATTTTTGAATTGGGCTGTAGCTGCACTCTAATATTATCGACTTAGAGAACTTTTTTATTTTGTTTATTTGGCAGTAGGGCTAGCTTCTTTTGCAGAAATGTGTGTCATCTGAAGCTGTTTGGTGTAGGAAATTACTGGCTTCTGTTGGAATTCAGTGCTTGTTTCCAAGCTGGCTGGACAGTACGAATTTCGTGTGTATTTGCAGACATATATTTCACAGTTGGTAAAGTTTCTGTATATATGCAAAAATTTCCCAGGGGAGCATCAGAGTGAAGGACTGAGCCTTCCCACTTGTAGGAACACAGATGCTGGGCTTTTGGGGTTATTTTCCCCATCCCTCAGTACTGGCACTGTCACAAAGTACAAATTCAGCATTTGAATGCACTATATTTATGTAATTTTTTTTAGTTTAATCTGAAATATCAATGATCTGAACACTGTGTTTTCAAATCTTTTGCTCAGGGAATATTATATCACCATGGTGAAATGGATAAGCAACACCAAGGCTGTSGTGAGGTGGTTAAACAGAGCTCAGAATATCTCCATCCTTACAGTTTGTGAAACTACAACTGGGGCTTGTACCAGGGTAAGTTGTTTGGTTGTTTCCCTAAAAAAAAAAAAATCTCTTTGCAAGGTTCCTTCTGCATTTTGTTTTCATATTCAGAAAAAGATTTTTGGAAATCAGTTTGCAGATGCAGTGGTTTCAAGCTGACTGTAATTAGTCAACAGGGAGGAAATGGATGTGAGAAAATTCCAAATGTGGTGAAATGATTTCATGCAATTAGCAACTTTGAGTGACATTTTCAGAATTACTGAGCTTTGCTCATTCATTAACTTCAGTGGAAATGGCAGTTGCTGAGCATCGTGTACTTGGGGTACAGATACAGCAGTGACAGGCTTGTCCTCTGACAGATAYTTTCAGCTGACTGCTTTTTCTTCTCTCCCCCTGCAGAGTTTAATTTTCAATCTGTGTCTCACAGTTTACATATACTTAAGGAAAAGGTGTAAAATTCTTATAATTCCTTCACATTTCGTAGCAGAATTAAATAAATTTAGAAAAAAAAAATAAATTGAAAGCCAACAGGGATACTTCATTTTTGGATGCWAGCCAGGCTGAAATACATTTTTCTCTTTGAATTCAGCCACATTCCACCCCTGGACCCAGACTTTGACTTCTGACCCTCCTGCATTCCATCTCTCCATTTTCACAGTCAGTCTTGCATCTTGAGCGCACTTGGCTGCTTTCCCATTCTGAGTCACAATCTCTTCCCAGAACCAGCTAAAAGTATAGAAAATATTTATACATGCTGCTATCAGTACCAACAGATGCTCCAAAGCAGAGGGTATAATTTGGCAGTGTAAATGGTTATGAGTGATTAATGTTGGCCTCTGAGTCAAAAGGCTCCCATCAGTGTCTGCTGCTGAAGTCAGTCATTGAAATGGTAGAGATTATCTCCAAGCTCATCTGCTTCTTCTGCTGCATACTGCAGGCTGCTTTTCCTGACTCAGAAACTACAAATAAATCCCCAGAGTGGGGATTAAGATTGTGACCATGGAGATTTGGTTGCTTTTCACCTGGTTCCTGTGARCATTTTTTGCCTTTTTATTAAGAAATTGGTCCCGAACCACTGTGAGAGGGAAACCTTTATGTGCTCCAAGGTCAATTGGGCTTGTTTGAAGTAGATCTCCAGGGAGCTGTAATCCAGCACACAAAGTGAGAGAGAGAGACTGAAAAGTCCCACTCCAGGGTACTCAGAGTGCAGCAAAGGACATTTTTAGGAGGCTGAGGAAGGACAGTGATGCAGTTTCACCATTGTGAGCTCAAGCCTGGCTCATTCTGGAGGGGTTGTACACTGCACCCTCTGGAATAAGGTGAAGCTCTTGAAATCATTAAGGGATGAGAAAAAGCTAAATATCGTAAGAATTTAACACTGTATCACACCATTTGATTTCATCTATAAACCTTGCCTTTTCCCCTAGGATTTTGCACATCTTCAGTTTCACAAAGGAATGTATAAAGTCAGCAGAAGCTACAGATTTTAATTTTTCAGGCCCTATAAGTACAAATGCTTTTGTAGCTATTAAGTTTTCATTACTTCATTGTGGCTGTGATAATTTGCAGCAGTTGATGTATATTACATTTTTTTTTTCCAGCAATGTGTGCATGATATTTGGTTGTTTTAGGCTTCTTTTTTCAGATGGCAAGATGTGAAATATGAGTATCAACAATAAAACCCAATAATTTGTTTAGGTTTTTTTTCATCACTAATGCCACACTACAATCCATTAAAGCAAGGGATTGTGATTTGAAAAGGTCTCACAACTTGAGCTTGATGCTGGCTGTTTGCCTGGTGTTGATGAAGGATCTAAAATATCCAGTTGTCAGATGATGCCTAGAGGTACAAAACAAATAGAACTGCCTGTGTAAAGCTTCTTGATAGCTAATCAGAACGGACTGAAATGRCATTCTTAGTTCCCCTGTGGTGTTCTACCAAGAACACAGAATAAAGCAGCTGACTTTGTAATTAAATTATCATTTGTTTCAACGCAAGTGCCAGCAGAGAGATGAGAAAATTGTAACACAGTAGAAAAAACACTGCCATGAAATAGCTAGAGACCTTTTGCTGAATGTGGGAAATATTTTTTCTCTATAGCTATTCCATAAAAGCAATTTTTTCCTTTTTTTTTTTTCTCCTTAGAAATATGAAATGCAGTCAGACCTGTGGCTTCCTAAACAGGTATAGTATAAATGCTATTTCTGGGTGCATAATGTGTAATTGCTTCATTGTAATTTTTATTTAACTGTGTGTTATTTTATAAGCTAATAAAATCCTGAGACACCTGTGAGGGTTTTGGAGGCAATATTCCCTCCAGTTTCTGGTTGGTCTGGATTCAGTTCAGTGAGCACTTAGATGAGCAGCTGATTAACTGCCTGACTCTGGGATGGTTGAAGACAGAGCAGATGAATCCCATTCCAGGCATGTCCTATTTACTGTGATTTGTTTCTGATTTAAAAATGATCTCACCAAATTGAAGCTGAAGGAGTTCAAAGAKTAGAGGTCATATGGGCTATAATTGGAATGAGAAACTGTAATATTTCTAAATTCATACCCAGAACAATATGTTTAACTAATATGTCAGTGAATTATTCCACTTTCATAGCTTCAGAAGAACTGTCCAATAACTGGATGAAACACATTCTATTTAAACTACATTTCAGGCTTCATTTTGCAATGTGCAAATGAGAAATCATCTCAACAAAAAACCCTGTGCTGTTATAGCAAACCATTTTCCTTTAATATTTCTGTGCAAAGTTAGACACAGAGAGATGGTATCACATCAGGCTACAATTTGTGRTTGAGACTGATCCAGAATGTCCCTTCAATGTAGTTATTTTTTCCATACAGCTTTATCAAAGTCAGTGGGTGTTGAGCATGTACTGAGTGAGTCCAAACCATTGAAACTTCTCCTCKTCAATTAGTAGGAGTTATCTCTGTCATTAATTGTATATCTGTAAAGGAAAATGTTCTGGAAAGTCCCCCTGCATTAGGAAGGAGACTACTGGAGCTTTCATTGTGAGGGAGAGTTCTGCAAGGGCTGTAACCCATGTTTTAGGACAGGGTTGCCCATGGCATGAGCTACATTCAGGTTTGGCCACCACAAATTTGTTAATCTCAGCAAAATATATTTAAAACCTAAAGATTTTTCTCCAGCTGCCTTATGAGCACAGCAATTACCAAAACCCAGGAGACAAAAAACCAAAGCTGATCTTTCGTTAAGAAGCTGAATGAAAAGTGTGCCAGACTAACACAATTTTACATTTTCAGAACGAAGAACCTGTTTTCTCCAAGGATGGCAGTAAGTTCTTCATGACGGTGCCGGTGAAGCAGGGCGGCCGGGGCGAGTTTCACCACATTGCCATGTTCATTGTGCAGGTAAGGCTCTGGCTCTGGCTGCTTTGAGTATCTGATGAGTATCCTACTCATCATCCTACTCATCTGGGACTTCTGTTGACCACACATGGCCCAGGCAAAGGCCTGCCCTTCAGTTCATTTGTCCTTTCCAGGTTGTCACTCAGTGCACTGAGACATATTTATAAATTCTTCCAGAACAAKCACTAATTGTACCCTCTCTGTATAAACTATACATGTGTCTTCGAAAATAATAAATAATTTTAAATGTCTATTTAGAATCTACTCTTACAGAACAGTAAGGGGAGGATTGGGAGTTTGGGATATCCAAACTTAAAATTTTGTGAAAGTTAGGACACTTTTGCTACCCTTTGCAACATTTTTCATTTCCCAGGGTCATTACTTTTTTCTGAAGAAGGATTTGAAAGGAGATAAATTTGCAGTATGACTTTGAAGGTCACCAGTATGAAGTTGTGATGATCTAATAAAGGAAATTATGCCCTGGAACAGAACACTCCAAGGCCTCTATTTAAATCATCAGAGCATTAATCCAGGTGCTTTAGCAGAGCCATAGGAGGGATTACYGAGGTACCCAAAACATCCAAATAGCAGAGTTGGTGCCAGGCAGCTCTGCTATCTGCTTTTATGACAGTGTTCTGGTATGAACATTATTAAGTCTGAAATATGTTTGCAGTGTACTGCAGACAGAACAAGAACAAAAGAACATTAATGAGGATTTAACTTGAAGAAACAAGAAAAAAGATACTCATTCACTGCTGTAAATATATCAAGAAAGAGTCAGTGAAGTTAAAAGGGGTCACAGATGCATCAGATTCTATTTCCTAAAGAAAACAGGAACTCAGATTACAGTCTGGTAAAGGTGCATTAATACAATAACCACATAAAAATTCACACAAGAGCAAAACCATTTAGTCAATCAAGTCTTATTCTGGTATCTTTCACAATGTGAATACATATCTTTAAAATGTATGATATAATAATGATCTAGGTCTGGAAGTTCACTTGCATCATTCCCAAGGATGTTACAGATACAATCAAACTTGGCTTAACCTTGTAGACTCTGACATTTCCTGGTACTAAAATGCCCAGGAAGTTTGATCCAAATTCAGGAAAATATTTAAGCAAAGATTAAGCCCACTTCTATTCAGTAAGGTAATTAAATACATGCCTACTTTTAAACATAGCTTATAATTCTAGCAGAATAATGTTTGAAGTCAAACTTATGATTCAGAATTTAGGCAGAATTAGAGCCCTGGGTATTGCACAGCTAGCTCCAGAACTAAAAACTAGTATTATTTTGCTTGCCATCAKCATGAATAAACAAATCTGAATGGTGTCACCAATGACAAATTTGGCTTTAAGCATGTAGCTGCTCCTGAGAAGAAGGAAATGTGATATCCCATGTACCAACCATTACTCATCAGKAGGCAACATCCTGCGTGGTAATGGGGCTGACAGAGAGCAGTAAAGGGCAGGAAATATGTTTATATGATGTGTTTTACACACTGCATTAATCTGATTGTCCATTATTTCTAAAGCAAACACAGAGGCATAAAAAGTATATTAACCGTTGCACATAAAGCCTTTGGTCCCATTAGATGTTTGTCACACCTTGTGAGAGCCACAGCWGGTGCCCTGCAGAATTTAAAGCAGTCAGCAGATCCCCAGTGCCCAGATGGTCACAGCTTTTCTGTGATGAAGAGGGTAACTCTGGAATCTGACTGAGATTCTCATTCCTTCTCTGTGCAGACATCAGCACATTAACAGCTCAGCCTTCACGTGCAGGAAAGTTAAAACACAGAGCAACGTGGACTTGTTGGGATAAAGAAGCAGAKTTTAATGGCTCACTCCAGTTTAATCACTGATGCTGATTTCTCRATCTTAAAACAAATGCTGGCTGCATTTCTTTTGTCTGCATTTCAGAAAAGCACGTGTGAATGACACAAAGCACCTGATTAAATCTTTATGCCAGGAGAAGTTACTGTCTAAAAGGTTGCTGTCTGTCACAGATGATTTACTGCCTGAGGATAGAGGGGTGGATGTGTGGTTTATTGTTTTTAAATGTTTTTAGTAACTTGCAAAATATTTAAAAGAAACTAATCTTGAGATGGGATTGAATCACGTCTTATGTATCTAGACATTTCTTTCATGGAGTTTTGCAACTGTAGAAAGTCTCTTTTTTTCCAACCGCAGAATAAAAATTATAAAGTAACTTTAATGGATCAAGGCGATAACTTTCTGCAAGCTTCATAAATTATGTATTRTGGCTGTAACCTTGAAAAATAACCATGTTTATTAACGCTTGGCTGGGCTTTTTATTGCTGTTTCTTGTTAGATTCTGTGATCTTAATATTTAAATATCTCTTTCAATAGTTGCAGCTTCTCTCTCTCTAGAGAAGAAMAAGTCACTTACAATAAATCACTAATATGTATTTTAATCATTCCTGGAGACAGCACTGAATATCAGAATCTTCCTGAGCAGGGAGCCCTCATCATAAACGTGTACAGCACTTAGCACAGGATCCTGATTTCATTTGGTTATTTGCAAGGTTTCTCATAGAGTCTGTACATGATTTTTTCCTTGTGGATCTGTTAAAAAAAATCAGTTCTAAGGGACTTGGTCCTGCCTTGCCAGCTCCTARCATGTCTTGTAGGGTATCTTTGAGCATTTTCTGCTTTGGAGTTACTGCTGCTGTGGATGTGGAGCTCAGGGTATGGTTCAGAAATACATGGATTAAAAAAAAMCAAAWCAACCTTTTTTGCCTTTATGACTTTTTGTAGGCTGTGTAACCACTGAGTATCACCTCTGCGACATCCCCCTTTTCTTTACAATTTGTCTTGAATTTGAAAACTGAGAATTTGTACATCCAGACCAAGCATAATAACCATACTATTGGAAAAACCTACATAGACTATGTTCAAGAAGTGAGGGTTGAAGTTTTAATCTTCAGTAGTCTAAGGCACAGTTTTACCTTTTGCACTAGGAAACACCTTCAGATGAGCTTCTAAATTCAGGTTTTGTTGATTTTAACCCATATCTGCTGCAACTTCCAGCCAAAGAGTTGGGTTTACCTTCATTGCACCCTGACTTCTATTGTTTGTTGATATGGGCAACTGGAAGAAAAATTGCTGAAAAATGAGATCATTTTAATGACTTTGAAAGGTTTCTGCATGGGAGGGAATGGACAAGTGAAGTTCAGACCTGTCAAAATGTGAGGTTTGTGGTTTAAAGATACTGCATTGCATATTAAAGTTTAAAAAGCTGTAATCAGTAATGGCAAGTGCAGACAATCCTGCTAGGCAGAGAAAAACATAGCAAGGTGAAAAGTTAACATTTTTCATCTCTCTCCAGGCTAAAAGTGAACAAATCAGTGTGAGACACCTGACATCGGGAAACTGGGAAGTTATCAAAATCCTGGCATACGATGAAAATACTCAAAAGATGTAAGCACTGTTCTTATTGTTTATGAAAATATCTGAGTTATTAAAGTTGCATACATTTAAGCCAAAACTAGACAATATTTCTTTCATTTTTGAGCATTACCATAACTTTGACACACCTGAGCACATGAAGTGCAGTTGTAAGACAATTCATCTGCCATTCTTTTCCTGAATGCTTTTTTATGCAGAGGGAAAGAAGCACACCATGACATCTCTTGACTCGCTGTATTTTTCTGAATAAAAGAAATCAACACMCAGTGCAGCAGAAATAACATTTTGGTAACTTCTTCCCTGGAATCCAGATAAGGAATCATCGTAAAATTTTAGTACTTTATAAAATATCAAACCCCTGCTGCATGAGGTCTCAGAGTTTTGGGGTTCTGGTTCAGCTTCATACATTCCAATTATTTGTAGAGATTGTCTTAAATCCCGATTCTCACCCAGCTCACTCATGAGAAATCATTCCAAAGCCCATCTTAGTGACAGAGTGGATGGAAAGGCAGCACATATTTGGTGCTTTTGGGGAAAAGTTTAGAACTAACACCAAATACCTCAAGTCACCCCCTAACTTCAGTGGTTCTTGTTTAATTTTCACATTTATCTGTCCATGGCAAAAAATACAGATACATCTAATACTAATTTTCTTTAAAATAAATGATATTTCAGCAATAACTTTTTGAAGCTGCAATAAATTCCACCTTCTCCTATGGTACTGGAGAAAACCCTTTTTTGACAAGTTCTTCTATGGGTTTTGAAAGTAAATCCRTAGAGAATTTCCTGGTGCTTTTGCAAGGCCCAGAGGAAATAATGAGGTCTGGATGCACTCAGGCTGCAGAGTGGTGACAGATTGCACATGAATTGTCTCAGCCACTCGAGGGGATTGCCTTGTCCTCCTTCTGCCTGCCAGACTATGAAACTTCTTGAGGATCTCATCAGGGAAACACCAAAGGCTCGTCTGGGCATTCTTGCAAATTCTCTTTCCACCCATGCAAACTTTATAGAAGAAAAATTTTTTCTACAGCTCAAAAAAGTTTTAATATCTCATAAGACTTATTGTAATATATGATTATAATTTCATTGTGACCTTTATCTACTACTTGGATTTATATTGCAAACTCTTGGAGTGAAGCAGAGTCTTTCTCTTCCGTATTTTTCATATGCTGAGAGGGGTCCTGGTTGCTACTGGAGCTCCTGGGTGTGACAGGAATTAAAACCATGAAATCMTGTTGTTTTAACAGGAAATTGTATATCATCTGAAATAACTAATCTGTATATTGGATCTAAGTTTGAACTTAGGTTTATATATATTTATTTGATCTTCGTGGATATTTGTGGATTTTTATTTTTAAAAAATGTTACTTATGCTATATCTCACTTTGCTAAACTCTACCCAAATCAGACAGTCTACCAAACTGGGTCTAAYTTTTATCCTCTTTTGGGCACAGCTATTTCTTAAGCACTGAAGAGTCACCAAGAGGAAGACAGCTCCACAGGTAAGARGTACATGKGGCTGTGTTATCAGCTTCTTCAGCSCRAGCSATACCTTGTGGAGCTTGGGTAATCATTTRTGCTGTGTAAAAATCAGTATGCTTGAGCTGTAACAAGGAAAGAATCACAGCTTCTCAAAATTCAAACTGCTAGTATTTTCCATTTTCTAAAAAATGAATAAGTTTGTAACACAAAATGTTTTAATCACTTATGTGTTCACTAATCCTTTATAGGCATCTAAAAAGTTCAGTGTAAATACAAGCCTTTAACATAATTGTGTTTTAAAAATAATTAAAGTTTTTTAAGTAAAAATATTTATAGGGTTTAATCACGTGACTTAATGTGGGTGAAACACCTCATTCTCATTGCTTAAATCTGAGGTTAATGAGGCTTTTAATGGTTTCTGCTAATGCTGTAACCCCCAGCACTGTGAGCTGCTGCAGTCCCAGTGGTGCTTTGGGCAGTTTTTGGGTCCTGGCCACATTGCCTGGTTGGCAGAGCAGCAGCCCAACACTGCATCAGGCAAGAAGGAGTCAGTGGTGTTTTGGCAATTCAGGGACTAAATCAAATTCTGTCATTCTGATGAGCTAATTCTAGGTTTGTTGTATTTAATTCCAATGTAAAATATTTCTGATTATTTTCCTCCCCAGTGTGTCGACAGTGGGGTCATTGAATCGTCAGTGTCTCTCCTGTAACTTCTTGAGGGAGCAGTGCACCTACTTCAGTGCCAAGTTCAGCCCCATGAACAGGCATTTCCTCCTGCACTGTAAGGGTAAGCCAAATGCACGGGGTGTAATGCTGTTTGCTTCAGAATTAATGTATTCCCTTGAGAAGGGCATTAGGCTGGAGTCTAACTTTAAGCTCAGTAGAGGATTACTCAAAGTTCTGTACTGAGCCTATTCCAAGACAGCAAGCAAAGGTGTTTTGTGTAATAGCTAAGTAATGAGTGATGTCAGAAAGCTGCTCCTTCTGCCCAAGCAAAGCATATCAGCTTAAATTCACCCTACCTAAAAATCCTTCACCAAAAAAATCAGAATTTGTGGTGATGGTACTGTGGTTTTTAACAGCTTCATGATTATGTATTGGGATTGATCTTGTGCAGCTATACCTGGTTAAATAATGAGGGCCCGTGTTCTGTAGCAGTGTTTGTACATGTGGCTGTGCAGTGTATCTCCACACCCTCACCCCATATGTATGTTTATGGATGTATCTACCAAAAAAACAGCTGCAGTTTAATCCCCAGAGACAGATCCTCTATATCAATACAATTGCAATAAATAATTCACTGTTTTACTGCTAGCTGCATTCCAGTAGCACTAAATGGCACCAATTGGCCTCAGAATTTCTGTCTAAACAAAAACCTAAAATCACCCCACACCAAGAAATTTATAACCCACACACCGGAAATAAACACTTATATATCAAAGTGATGAAAAAGGTTCAGAAAAGCATGAGATAATCAAGAATAAAGTACATAGGCATACCTGTTGTCCTTGAAACTTTCAAAACCTTACAGACACCATCCCCCCAGCWTTTTTCCATAGCTA